AAGACCAATTACTTAGTAGATGGTTCCTGTTCGTGTAACAGTGAGACGATCAGAAAGACGTAAGAAAAGCGAAAAAGACGAGGCCTAGAGGTAAATGAAATGCGTTGTCTGGCATAGCCTATTTCTTTCACCATTTTCATTAACCAAAGAAATTGATTGCGTCAAATTTTCTCCTTCGTCTTCGTCCTCCTGTGCACTTTTTGACAAATGTACAAACGGTTTAATAAATGAAAATTTTTAATTTATTACTTGACTAAACCTTCACTGCCTTCTGGTATTGCGGCAGCACGCATTTCTTTCATAACCAATTGTCGTGTGATATGGCAGCTTCGGCCTTTTCTGACTGTAAATAATGTCTGGTGTGCATGCGAATACCCTTGCCAAGTTACCGAGTAAGGTGAGACTTCAGAATATTCCGTTACACGGCACTCAACTAGATTTCCTCAGAATTGTTCATTTTGAAGTTAGTTGGTAGTTATTAGTTAACATATAACTATTCACTCTTTGTATCCTGTTCTTCTGTGTTATCAGACACATCAACCTTCAAAACTTGCAGAAGATCATCATCACAATTTCTGGCCAAAATTTTTCTCTTCAAATATACAATTTGGCCAAAGGCGTCATGTCACGAGATATTGGGTTATAGAGAGGAGCACAAGGGTTTTCTGGATACATTGTAGTAATGCGATACATTGGTTCTCTAGGCTGGGTCTCCAAGGTCGGCGACATGTAAGAAATGCCCGTCACGGTGCCGGCAACCCACGTACACAAATCGAAATCCAAAGCCTCTTTCCACGAACAATCATCCATGCATAGATCTATGCCGTTTATACCAACCACCCAATCGGGCGCAAAACAAAACGTAGATATCATAGAAACCTTATGATGTTTACGAGCGACACGAAATGTTAACGAAGTGTTGGTATTTACCTGAGGATACCATAGACTAGCGGCTTTTATTAAAGTTCTTAAGCTTGGCCCTTTACCTCTTAGCTCAGCCTCTGAAGCACTCGGTGAACCAAATTCAGCTAATGAACGGAAACCAGCAGTGGCTATATAATTTTCTCCCCAGAATGAAAAATTGGTCTCATGTAAAGCTCCAACGATGTCAGCGAAATGTGTCAACCATCCGAATGGAAAATCCTTTGGATGGGTTTCATCGGACCAAATGCTTTCGAAAACGAACTGAAAAAGAAATGTCGAAATAAACCATTTTTCAAAATCGTAAAAAACATTTATCTAAAAAAATGATGCGTACGCTATATTTCTCTTAATCGCAAGCGCAACACATTTTCTGGGCAGTGTTAGAATCAGGTTGCTTTTCTCAAATTACTTGACTTAGTTGGCCGTCATCTGAGAACCAAGAACGCGGTCCTTCGTAAACCATGGCCAAAAGAGATATGCAACCCGAGCCCGCGGTAGGCCAACCTACACAAACTTGTATTTCAGTTTTCGGTAAATCGTCGGCTTCGGAGGCGGTATCTACACAACGGTCGCTGAACTTTGCGACCGACACGTTTCGGCCTCCGCCTTAGCGATGGAGTATGCCGCTTAGCCACACATTTCTAGCCAAGCGCTTTTAATTTTTTTTATTCCTTTGTGTTTTCCACTACTTAAACACCGATCATGGCTTTAGGATTTGATTTATGATCGTTTTGTGAATGAGAATTTCATTTACACATACATTGATGACACGAACAACCTCGATGCCACTGTCTCTTTCCTTACTTTTGTGGAGTGTGGCAGGGCAGAATAAATTGAGCATCTTGTTTTTGGATGAAGAATAGTTGATATTATTAGACGGCCGCTCAATACCCACCATATACATCCCTTATGAAATCTTTCGTGCTGATAAGAATGCCCTGTTTTTTTATCAAGGATGCTGGATTTTACTTGTAATTTAAGTTTGGTCTATACTTTAAGAATTCACGAGTGACGACGCTTATGTTAATATAGAATAATATAATATACCAAATATTGGAGAAATTTATAAGCCAATCTGCTAATTGTCATTAAAAGATGTCACCAATATGATAACATTAGAAGGCCTTGCAGGATTTCCAGTTTATATTTATTTTTTATTTATTTATTTATTCTACTTATACAAGAAGCTCAACTAAAACAAATTGACAGTCGAGTTCAACTGACTCTTAAAGTAAATCTTAAGTTAATTAATATTAAAACTTAGTATAAGTATAATAAAACAAATAAGAAGAAAAAAAAGAAAAAGAAAAAAAAGCATGTACACTATCAGCATAGGAGCACACTTACAACCGGTACCGGACCACATTGCAAATAAACCCCTAAGCCATCGCAAACATGTATAAGCTTGGCAACCGAAAATAGTTGCCAACAATTAATTTTCGACTCATCGTGACTTTTAAAGGTTAAGAGCTAATTTGAGTACGACATAGGTAAATTACGCGCATTGGGCAATGTTGCTTTAATGGGCTTTAAAGAGTCCGATAATGAGAATAAGTGATAGACGTCATTTAGGTTCTTGCAAACAACTCTGAGCGGATGAAACAGCTCCTAATTATATTTACAATTGACTAACCAAGGTAAAGCGCCTAGAGAAGCGGTTGGGGACATTAAAGCTTATTCCACTAAATAATGCAGGCGAGTCAATAGCACCATTTATTACTTTGATTACGAAGGAAACGCCAAGAACAAATGTACGTTTCTCGAGAGACGGTAAGGACAACAGAAGCAACCTATTTTCATAGGGGAGAAGAGAGGCCCCAACCCAAATTACTAAGGGCAAACAGCAAGAATTGCTTTTGAACAGATTCAGTTGAATGTACATAGTACCTAGACGAAGGAGACCAACTCGAGTATAGCTCTAACCAAACACATGTACAGCCTTTTCGTAATGTAAGGATCATTAAGGTCTCTGGACCACCGCTTTATAAAACCAAGCGCGGACCTATCTTCCTAGAACCTGCAGATGAATCACTCTTCGCTGTTACGGAATTGGGAGTTGCTTTTCCAGAGCCTCTTCCATAATAACTACTTTAAGCTGCTTGGATATGAAGTGGTAACAAATTCCATAATTTTACAGCCTGAACAAAGGATAGCCCTGTTGACATGTTTAGTTTGGTGTAGTTTAGATTATCACTTAATAATAACTTTTCTTTGGCGCAAAAATCCACGTACCGAAAAACGTAAAAGATAGCTGTCTGCTGCTAGTTACTTATGTAAACAAAGTTTAGGAAAAATGGTGAGCCGAGAATGACGAAGCTGAACAAATGAAAATATAAGAATTAACATAATATTTAGTGTTAAATGGGAATAAGTGGGAGAAAAAACAGAGTAAGTTGGGAAAAACATACCACCACTTATTTTTAAATGAGAATAATTGGTGGGCGAAAACATATAACTTACTGTTAAATGACTCTTTTTAGAGGTAATAGACGGAATCATAATTATTGTCCCATTAAAGCTACATTCACTTTGCCACATTTTTACACAAATTATAAATACGTTCAAGATCTTTGGAATAATGGAAATAACAAGTTGCGGATTGACACTACGTTAACTAATGACTTTTTCTTGGCACGACTGATTGATAGAGAAAACGTCGTCCTCATTCACGAGAATGGCACATTTCCTCGGTAAATGTTTACCTGTTATCAACCTCGCAGGTTCGTTTAAATCTTTTCGTGTAAATAAACTTTTTTTTTTAGTATGCAACGTCTTCATTTTTTCAAATTATATTGATTTTTAAAATAATAATTAAAAATTATAATAATCTCCGTTGCAAATTTTTCAAACTTTCAAATATTTATTTCTCGCGTTAATGGGAAGAACACTTTCAGTGTATTTCGGAGATTTGCGAAGTTGCAAAATTTGTATTTCATTTTATTGTCAGAATTTCCAATTTTTAGTTTATAGACAGGATTAGGAGCGATGAAAGCTCGAAAGGTTAAAATAATTCCCATGCTTTCCAATAATTCATCATCGTCAATATTTGTATTATCATCGGAGATTTTATCAAAAAAAAAGATTTTCTTTAAACACCTTTAAATTTTTATTGGTTTTAACAGAAAATGACGGAGTTTCTTGATTTGGGTGATGATTTAACATAAAATTTCTGATGGTTTAAAACTGAATATATTCCACTATTGGTATCTTCAGAGCTAAGTGCATTTTTTTACTTTCTATTACTTCTTTAAAGAAACAATGGGATTTGGCGGAATTTGTTAGAATTGAACTTTTCAATATAAAGACTTCGAACGTTTCAATTATTCATATTGCAAAAACCTAGGTTTTTTGTCATTTAACGTACTTATAGCAAAATAGTAGTATTCTAAAAATAAAGTATCATGTCTTGTGAATAGAAAGAGAACAAAGTTGCTTTCAGTAAATTGTGAAAAAGCACCGTACCCGTTCAGTTAAATGAGTCAATGGTGCAAAAACATCATAGAAGTTATTAGAAGTTAAATTACCTGCTAAAGATGTTCAAATATATTTAAGTATTTTCAGCTTTAAACCGCAAATACCCAATTAAAACTGTTCAACAATGGTGAAAGAGATTGGCAACTGATAGGATCTAGAGAGCATAGACGAATACTTTCAAGTGGAACGCTAGTTACCTATCCTATTGGGTAAGGAGCAATTTTCGGGATTATATTTAAGTGCAGGTGTGTAGCCAGTTTCGCCAGTATTTTGTAAAAGTCTGTAACTGCTCAAGGCGATCTTTTGCTAGGAGCGGTAAATATAAATACTCACTAATTTGACGAGATAAAAACAATATTCATTGCGCGTTTAGTTAGGTGCGATAATGGCGATTTTAGCTTACGTATGTGCTTCTGATATCCTACTGAGCATATTATTCCTTTCGGCTGGCGCAGCCATTAAAGTTATAATGGGCATAGACTTCGCCGGATGTATTTTCGGATTTTTCAATCAATGGTGGTGGTCTTCTTGAGCCCGTATGTTATACTTTTATACGTATTTCGATTCGTACTTCGCAATGGAAGTGAGTGTGTTTTAATTTTAGACCGATGTCAAATGTAATACCGGCACTACATTCGACGGCACCAAAGGTTTCAGTTATCAAGATTCTATTACAACCACAACATAAAGCTCATCCGAGAAGAAATTGGAAATGATAAAGAAGACACGACAACGTTATCAAATTAAGGTACGTGTAGCATAAACTTGAGCGTATTTTTTTTTCAATTCAATTCGCCATATTGATATGATATTCAAAGTTATTTATGAGACTTTTTTTTCTAAAAATTGAATAAAAAATAATATACTTTATATCAACTAATTTCTCCTCGTTTAAGAAATATATGGAGTTATATAATGTAGCGTTCAAAAAGCGATATTGTCTTACTTCCTACTTGTTCTATATCTTGAGAAAAGAATTCATATGCAATATTTTTCCCAGACTTTCCTCTTAAGAGACGTAGACAATATAAAAAAATTGCATACTCATGTCGATTTAGCACGAAAAAGTTTACGAATATACGATATTAGAAAAAAAACCTGATAAGCCTTGATTTCACTTTGTACAGTGATATTTAATCCGCAAGTCTTCGGCATACTTTTAAAGCCAGAAAGTACATTTTGATAAGTAAACGTCTTTCCATGAGCAATAATTTTAACATAAAACGTCCATCAGTAATCGCTGACCAGGAAGGAGGCAAAATAAATATCTTCACATTCATTGTCAAGTCTAACGTGGCTATAAAATTTTACAGCTTTTCGACTATTTGTCTCAGTAAATAAAGTTGAAAATATTTTAATTTTCGTAATTTCTTTCAGGGGGCACGAAGTTAAACGCATTTTTTTTTTTGGATTAATTTCTATCTTTTTCCACTTCGTATATTTTTTTAATTAAAAGATGAAAAATTTCCATCGTGTTTTTAAACTTTAGCAACAAATTCGCACATATTGCAAACACCCACTCTAGTCTTACTTTTTTATTCAAGCTGTTAAAACATTTCTTTTGGTTTTGTTCACAATGTGTTGTTGTCGCTTTTTGTGATAGTGCTAACAGTTTCTTGAGTGATTATTAATTTTGCTTTTTGAAATTTATAAATAAGCAGTATTTTTCGCATTTAGTTTGTATTAGTGTAAAGCAATAAACTTCTCTTCGTATGTGATAGGGAGGACAGGATATTGTGATAAGGACATATTTCCTAATTCTTTAAACAGCAATTTGTAAATTTATGTGTGTGGAAAGTAAGTGTTAATTGCAGTAATTATGGCTAAACGTTTTTAAAAGAACCCGCCCGCTTGCAACAGGGTATTTCAATCACTGTTTCTTTTTATGGCGAGACTTCTTTCTCTTTCCCCTCCGTTCCTATTTTTTGCCACTTTTGCCAATCGGCTCATCCTTGCTTTTGTCCGATTTCTCTTCACTTTTCTTATCCTTAGTCTCTTTATTTTCTTTGTCTTTATTATCCTTGCTTTTCTCTTCCGTTTTTCCTTTACCTTCTTCAGCATCCCGATTGGTCAGTTTATTGTTGATTAAATTATGTAAAGCAATTATCGAACGTACCATTGAGGCTAAATACACAACCAACATTTGATCATTAGTCTTAATATACATAGTTTCGGTAAATTGATCACTGGTGATATCCGGCAGCAGATTAAAGATATCTTGCAACTGATAAACGATCTGATAATTGATTGGCATTTTACCATCGCCCACGCGTGTCAGATAGTTTTTAATGTCACTAAGTTGAGCATTAAGGCCTTTCAAACCCATAAGTTGATTAGTGATTTTCTGTGATAGACTGCCGACAGTGGTATCTTTAATATCTCGCAATAGATGTTCTACACCCACTTCTTCGGCTTCTTCTGCACCAATTTCACTGGGTACATGTTCAAATGTTTTGCTGGTAGGTGAACCATCATCGTGCACCTCTTCCACGGCTATATACGCTTCTGTAGGCAATCCCAAGTCTTTGGGTTTAGCGTCAATTATGACTAGGACTGAATTAGGACAATAACGTCTAATTAATTCGTTAATAGCTATGTCATTTTGATGTAATTTGGGGCCAGTGTGATACCAACCAACAACACGTTCTCTTGCGTTCACTTTCTTAAACATTCCATACATATTTTCCAAGTAATCGTGATCCAAAAACCATACTGACTTATCTTTGTCATCCTCGTCAAAAGGGACTGTGCGTAAAAAACCAAATAAGAGGACCGCTGAAGTTAAATTCGAATATCATTGAACGTACTTATACTAACCTGCGAAGCTATTCGATACATCCAAAACACCTTTAGCTCTCCAGCAACCTAATAAAACACCGACCACCCTTTTCTGATTACCTATTTTGCCCATTCTATTGAAATGGTCGACTACAGACAACAATACCAAAGGATGAACAATTACTTTGTTTACTAGAACCTCAGATGTCGGCATTGCCTTTTATTTTCACACAGTTTCTTTTGATACTTTTATTTCTTAAAAAATTTTAAAAATATCGCGATCCACACAATTTCAACTTCTTTCCAAATACAAAATAACTTTTTTAAAAAATCTTTCCCAAAAAAAGAAAACTCTACCGTACCGATAAATGAAAACGCTATAAAATGACGGGCAGAATTTCTAGACGTTTTGCAAATATTACACACACGCACACGTCGATGGTAAAGTTGGTAGCACTGCCAACAGTTAGCGTTGTAATTGCAGAAACTGTAAAGTCTACAAATTTCAATCGGAATTGCTATAATAATGCAAGGATGCACTAACGATTCGGTACATATGTATATACGTATAAATAGGTATTTAATAATTTATATGGCATCTCTACCACTATCTGAATAAGCAATAAAACAAGAAGAAAAAAAGGCAAGTGATGATCGATTATTTTAAATTTTAAGGTTATTTATCAATTTTTTTTTGTAATTTTAAAATGTGCTTAAAAACATTATTTGCAATCGGCAACATGTAGCATTAAAATCTCCACATATTCATAAATGCATACAAACAAATTCGCTGCTGCATATTACAATTATTTCCCGTTAAGCTCCTAACTTTATTTCTTTAGGCTTCTTGTAATGAATGCATAATCTATCTGGTAAAAGGGATATCCCTGGTTCGTTTGAGTAGATTGCAATTGAATTATAAATTCTTCTATTGTAGTGTAAACATTTTCAAAATATTTCTGTTGTACTTCACGGTATTTCTGGGAATATTCGTGGAAAGCAATTGATAATTTTTCTGAGTTTTCAAAGCTGGGTTGTACTTATTTTTATTATCCCCCTGTGAATTTGTTGCTCTGAAAGCAACCTTGTGGTTTTTATTATTGTAACATTGTGAGCTGTCATGAATAGCAAGAGACTTGTGGGATGTGATGTTTACAAATTATTAAACAGAAGTGGACATCACCAAAGCATGCTTCAGTCTTTAGATGAAATAGATTATAAGATTAGAAATAAAGGAAGAATAGATTATGTGATTAGAATTATGGAAAGTGTACAAGCCGTCAAGAAACTGGGAGAACGGAGTCTTTATTTGGCAAAGAAATATATATTTTCATGCATTTATATATATAAACAACAATTAGCATTTTTTTAAACTTGGGCACTGTCTTTATTGTCATAAGACGCAATAATATATTAGTTCTCAGATTAACACAAGACATCAAAACCATCCCCCACATTTTGTTCTATTTTTTAAAAACGCATTTTGCTTGACAATTCATTTGACAGTTATTTGTTACTTAACAAGCTGATTTTATAAAGTAATGTTGGAGATTTAAATTATGACCATTGCTCAAGAATGGTAAGTTTGACACAAAGTAACAAAAACTTTCCAATTTCCAGATCCTCCATACTGGGGACAGATAGGCTGTATGCCCTTGTATAGTTCGCCATGGGAATCGCGTGGCTTGATGTACTCGTCTCACAGCGCGCTCGGAGAGTACCTTTTAATTCGAACTTACCTTGGGTGCCCAGTAACGTCCGGCGTCCCACAAGAGAGTCGTATAAGGCATTATATACGCAACTCGCTAGTTTCGAATGTTCTTGACTCAAAATTAAAATTTAACTTACGTGTAGGATCCTCAACAAATAAAGCAAAGTCGCGTTTAGCCTTTGAAAAAGATGAGCGAAGGAATGTAAGTACACTCATATAAGTAAGTCTCTTTATACGTCACTTACTGCCTATGTTCTTCCTTATTCGGATTTTCATTCTTATATGTCGTTTGCTGATCATATTCAAACTGATTGTAATATCAGTGTTTAACTATAAGTTTTTGATATTGGGGGATTTCAAGGTTCCCAGTGTTATTTGGAGTACGGTCAGATGATCAGATCTACTTCTTTCCTATCTCTAATGGTTAAATATATGAGAGTTTCTTGATGTTTTATATGACCTTACTTGCTACCACTTCAACCATATCTGCAATTGCATGAAAGACAGCTTAACCCTTCGTAGGCATTATGAGAAAGCCTTCAAAGACTGTCAATCTGGATGTAACATCATCAAACTCAAGATAGACTCAATTCCTGCCTTGAATTTCACTACTAACAAATGTAGAGTCTTCATGAACATTCTCGAATCGATCTCTACCTCAAAGCAAAACGTCAACTTCTCTTGTATCAAGATGTTATGCCAAGAAAAGCTCCTTTTTTATTACAACAACAACTACGATATATATGCCAACAACGGTTCCGCCGGACATAACATATGTGGCTTCTCGGTTGTGAAACATCTATCTAAAACAGTACATTGAGTTAAAGTGCCGGAGGAACTTTCCTCAACTTTTATTGAGTTGCTCGCCATCAGACATGCTTTAAGGTTGCTATCTCTAATGGTATCAAAAGGTTCGTTCTTTTTTCTGATAGGAACTCAGCTCTACTTCTAATAACTAAAACAGATGCGGAGAATCACTATGTGTGAGATTTTCATAAGATGTTGCATGAGACTCAAGTGGATGACTGTCACCTTGTTTGGGTACCTGGCCACTGCGGTTTTTTTTTTTAATTTAAAAGCCGACTTTCATGCAGGGAGAGCTCGTGTTGATGGGATAATTTTGTCCGTCAAATACACTCCTAATGAAGCAATTCGGGCAATTCGCAACCACATCCTTCAACAGTTAAACGACGAATTTAAAGAAATCGCACGCGTTAAATCCAATCGCCTTTTCTATAAATAAAAACCTTTTCTATATCTTTTTTTAATTCCTGGCAAATCAAAATTCTTTATAGGCTTATGAGTGGCCACACTTATGATAAAGTTTATTTAAAAATGGTTCGCGCTATACCATGTGATGTTTGAGAAGTTTGCAATGTTGTCGTGTCTGCTAAGCATCTAATCTTTACATGTCACAGGCTTGATGGTATTACAGATTTCTTTAGCTTCTATGACCGTCTCCTCAATCTCTTTGCAGCAAAAAAGTTACTTCATCTCGGGGAATTAACTTGCTTTGTTAAAAAAGCGCATTTGGAATTTTTTCGTCTTCTTCTTCCTTTTTTTTCTCGTTCATTCATTTTCTATTACTACAGCATTCCTTTTTCGATTTCAGCTAAGTTTGCAACACTGTGTTACACAACACTCAACAAGCACAATTACACATGCACGTGGGGGCCAAGGGTCGTAAGCGAGTACAACAAAAGCTCTCTTTTGAAGCATTTTCTAAGAAGTTAGATGGGATTGTACGAGACATTGCGCAATGCGACAATCGTACTATAAAGAAAATGGAATGAACAAACCTATGTTTAATAAATGGTTGCCTCATTTTATTATAGAATATAGTAGAGAAAAACAAAAACAGTGACCTCAGTTGGTGTATTTTAGTTAAGTTTGCTTTTAATTTAATTATAATCAGACATTATAATATTGCCTCTTCCTTTCTCGGGTTGTTGTCGTAGTTCCTGATGTAAAGAACATAAAATTTCATCCTAATCGGATTTCTAATGTCAAAGCTGACAGGGTATCGGTATTGAAACCGAAAGCATCCCCAATAGCTTATTAGCTATAGATTTCTGGTTATATGGTACTTTTGTCAAAAAACTTGTCCATAGGTAAAGGTAAGATGCGATACTTGTATTCGACATTTGTAATCTTAAGTCTTTTCAGCTTAATAACTACCCACGTTAATATGAGACTGTCGCAGCTTTTGCACTGCCGCAATAAGATTGCATCAGCTTTCCTATAGCTGTTATCGCGTTTTGCTCAGTTTTCTCTTTTCTGCCAATCATAAAACATATAAAAGCCATAATAATCCCAATAAGCAATCTGAAACGTGCTACGTTGTATTTGCGTAGATGTACACACACTTCCTTCAGGAATATAATAGTAATTTGCTTTAAAAATTGAACTTTGTATTTTTTAAATCAATCATAGTGAATTTGGACCACATATCACTTGTGGTTTGTTATATTTTTCCTTTCGAATGCAACTACCATGGATTATTTTCTATACAATATTAGAACTAAATTGAAACTATTACGAAATAATTGCTTGTTTTTCTTCCTTTTTGGTATAGGTTGCTTGTTCTTCGTCCTGAGCTGGTGAAATATAACGCTAAACAACGCTCACACTTGAAGAATTAATGCCGTAAATATGAAGAGACAAAGGAGGTTTTAAATAAATAAATCTTAAAAAAATAAAAAAACATTTATCTGATTACCCCTTTCGTCAATTTTGAAAAAATACCATTTCTTTCAGATTTAATTCGATATTTCTCCTTGATAATTCATTACTTGTTGTTTTCCCTACGCTAAAGCGTACAACATAATCTCGATTGTAAAGAAAGAGTTCGAACGTTGCTATCATGACTTATTTTCTATACATTATATGGCTGTTTTTCATTTTTAACTGAATTTCCACGCTTATTTTATTGCCATCGCTGGAAAAGCTAAATAATGCTAAAAGCATTGTTAATCCAACATAGTTAGTTAGGTATGAATACATGCATAAGATATAATTTACACAATTTTCGAAATTCAACCAGCTTGTATATTTTCCCTTTCTAATTAAAATCATATAAAAGAAAGAAAAACAATGGCTAAAAAGGGAAAAAACCTATGCAGATATGTGGACATTACGATTTTATTCTTTAAATGTTTTTACATTCATCAATAAACAATATATTTTGTTGATGATTACGCGTCTGGCTTCGGAACTTCTGCAATTCTAATGGCAGAATCGTGGACCTTGACTTTTACAACAGTATGGATATTATCATTCTTCATGAAAATCTCTTTGTATTGCCCGACCACCCATTTCATCCAACAATTTTGTTAACGCTGAATGGGTTGCTTTATTGGAATGTAAATTATTTTATTTATTTATTTTTTATTTTATTATTTATTAAGCACTCGCACATTCTAATTTTCCGCTTAGTTAATTCATTCAAATGTTGGACTCCTCCAGTTAAACTTGAATGCATTGTACGCCTGGTATGCCACTAATGGCATGCCACTTAATCGAAGTAAATGCAGTAAGTTTTCGTTTGCTTGGTGTTACGAATTGCATTCGCATTATGTTATTGATAACTACGAACATGCAGTTCTTTAGTGACCTTGGTTTTTTACTGAATCTCAAGTAGCGATTTCACCATCATATTAAAGCTTGCATTTTTAAATCGAAGTTGGACTAAGGAATTTAAAGATCTCTATGTTACTAAACGCCTGTTTACTTCGCTTGTCAGACCTGTGTAAGAATACTCGGTTATGGTACCGACTTACAACTCACACATCGATTTAATGGGGTCGGTGTACAAAGAATTTTTTGTATTTGATCTTTGTACATTGCGTTGGAATGCCTCACTTATCTTGCCATCATATGCGCTTAAACTGGTTGCCCTAATACCCAGGGAGACGCAAAATATTAGAAGTTACCTACGTCTCTAAAATGATAAAAGGCTCTGTGAATTCGTCATTTCTATTTGATCGGATGGATCTTCACATCCCTAAAAGACGCAGTGAAAGTTATGACCTCTTTAAGCTTCCTCAATGTCGCACATATCATAAGTTACAGTGACGTCTACGTATACCCTTCAAATTATATAATGGGCCCTATGCATGGTTTGAGTTTAATCCACAAGATCGTTAGAAATACTATACATTTTCCATTTGTCTAAACTGTTGTTTAAGATTATTTTATCTGGTTACTTACAAATACTATCTAGACTACATATACCTATCAGATTAAAAATATTGTGCACATTCCACTTGGGGAAACTATGTGAATTATTTAACGGTTCTTCTCTGATCTAATCGTAGTTCTGATTACCATACCATCGTTAAATGAGTTATTAGGAATGACTGGTGCTTAAACTATCTATTAATTAATTCAAACTTAGCTATTAATTAGTCAGTTATATTAATAGAATAATTAATAGTTAATTGATAATTACATAATAGTTAATTGTTTATTTGTGTATATATATTGAATAGTGTTAAAAAGTATTATCATTTTTCCCTTTTTCGGGCTTCTTCATATTGTGATTGAAGGCATTTATAGATTATTTCCATCTGAACTTATCAGGATACGGTTAACATATTAAATCTTTTTTTTCTTTTTGTCCTGATAATAATTTTTATAATGCAAGTAATAAAAGCTTAAATTAAATTAAATAAATAAATATGAAGGATGATAATATCTTATTTATTAGCATTAAAAATGTTAGATTAATGTTTAATGTAAAGTAACACAAATTCACAGCATAGTTGACTAACATGTCTTGTTTATTGTATTGTATACATATCTAGCTTGAACCGGGGGGTAATCAAGTATTTGAAAGATAACTTTCGTTCGCGGCCGGACCGATAGTTGACAATCCTTCTTATCTCGATCGTGTTTCGTTCAAATTGTGAAAATTCGTTAAAATCCGAAAAATAACACCCTCTATGATAAATAAACAAACAAACCAACTGTTAACGATGAATATTTTTTCTTTTTAGAAGTGTATTACTTATAGAGCTAATATATGCAATTATGAAATACATTAACTAATGATATAGAAATAACAAAAAATTTATAACGAAAATGTCATCGCTATATTATATCTTACTTGTTCTCCCAATCTTAAAATCGAAATACTAAAATACACTACCACCAAGCCTATTTGTGAGTTTCCGGAAATAAACCCATGTATGTTGGTTCTTCTAATAGCTCTTGACTGTTCACTCTACTCAAATCTTGTATTATTAAGGCACTTAATTCTTCTCGCAGTTTTTGCACGTCTTCTATGTATTGTCTAACGTTGTTTAAACATTCATGAATAAATATTTCAAATTACTATTAGCACTTCTTAATTTGATATAAAAACCATAGTGAACTTTAGATTCTTTTAAAGTTTTATAAAAATTCTACTATTTTCGGTTCATATACAACTTCCTGGCAGTTTTTCATATAAAAATTGTTGGTTTTTGGTTGATATACAACTCGCAGGCAGTTTTTCTTATAAAAATTTTACTGATTATGGTTGATATACAACTTCGTTTTTTCATATTGTAAAGAAGCGCTTGCTTCCTTACTGAATACAGGTCCGTTCGCACAAATGTCTACCCACAGTCTCCAAACAGTCAGTCCAATTTGTCCGTGTACGGTCCCTTGCTCTAAACATGGTCATTGTCTCCCCCTTAAACGCAGGAAACACATACGACCATGTAAAAATGTACAAAACTGTATTAACACACACGACCATATAAAAATGTATAAAAATGTATAAACGTCTATAGGCCATGCAAAAATGTATAAAGATGTATAAACACATATGTATAAAAATGTATAAACACGTACGACCATGTAAAAATGTACAAAACTGTATAAACACACACGACCATATAAAAATGTATAAAAATGCATAAACGCCTATAGGCCATGCAAAAATGCATAATAATGCATATGACCATCTAAAAAATGTATAAGGCTGTATAAACGCATATAGGCTATACATAAAATATATAAAAATGTATAAAAGCATTCAAAGTATTCGCAGGTAGGAAAACGCGTAAATGCACACATAGGGTAAAAACATAAGAGGGGAAAAAACCCTTTACCGATGTAAAAATATTGCAAGCACAGACCTAACGGCCCTGACTGACTGGAAAATATTCACATACCTAACGATTAGTATTTCACATCAGCATACGCAGACAAACAAGCATAACAATAAGATAGACATAAGTTATTATTATTATTATTATTATTATTATAAATTTAGCCAGAGAATAAATTCTAAGACTAAAGTCTTAAAGCACTAGCATCTAGGGCTATCGGCTTTTATTAAAAACTCTACCGCACTTGAGGTTTGAACCCACGACTATTGAGTTACTAGTCGAGACTCTTGCCTACTCGGCCACTCAGGCGGATAGACATAAGTTATAAATGAAAGGTTTGGCAAAAACCCACTAAGGAAAGTATCTTCATACAAGTCGGAGCTGAGGTTGCCACATAGAGAAGGGCAAACACGTTGAAGCCAACCTAAGATAGCATACGTAACGTTCGATGTATAAGAATATATAAGAATATCGCCACAATGTAAGCAAGTATAGAACATACATGTAACGGACCAGCGGTGGTGATTGCGACTATAAAAGAGTTATTGCAAAACGTAAGGAACATTTAGCTAAGACGGCAGTAGTGTTCAAACAGATCTACAGTTCTTGGCATAGTTATGAACAATTTGTTCAAAATAGTTTTTTTTCAGCAAAAGAGTAAATAGGGCACAGACCTTGTATGTGGTGGATTAAGATGTGTGTGGTATTAATTCTTTATTATTATTATGTTTCATATGTACATACACATATATATATATATATATATACGCAATGCTTTTACACATCCAGAGTTGCCGGAGCCTAATTAGCAATATTACATTTAATTGTAACTTGTTTACATATAATTTTTGCCATTTTTACCAAAAGATTTCAGATTAGTTCATCCTTTGTAGCACGCATTAAAATATTGTATACCATTTATTTATTGAAATGCTTATCGTCGTATTCGGGGTCTTGTATTAAAATATTAAAAGTATCTCTTCTCAGTAATTTGAACATTTTCTGTTAATTCTTATCATATATTCATACAAGTGCTTTTATATAATATATAATCTTATATATATAAATGTATATTTAAGCAAAAATTATATGTAAACAAGTTACTGTTTTTCGTACAATTAAATAAAAGATTTCAAATTTATTCAAACTACCTGCATGTATACAATGTAATATAAAATAGTATAATAGTATATATATATATATATATATATAATAGTATAATAAGAAAATCATTAAATAAGAAAAAAGCATAAGAAAGCAAAAAGATACAAGAAACCGAGGATAAGAAAAATACATCCAAAAGTTATTAATTAAATAAAATGCAAAACTAATTTAAATGAAAAAAGATATCGAGACGTTCTTGAATTCAAAAAATGGCTTCCGTTACTTTTACACAATGAGTAAAGTAGTATTTATTTCTTTGGACTAATGCCAGTAAGTTTTAAGCCCTAGAGCCGCCCCCTCTTTGGTCTATTGACGCCTGGTGTACGTGTTTCAACAGCATTATTAATAAACTCTCCTAATTCTGGCGTGGTAGTCTCGGTTTGTCGTGTGTTTCTATTGAGTGTCTCACAAAGTTGGGGGGGGTGGCCTATCATTAAATTTTGGGTTTAATGACAACGATAAAAGCCTTTTGCGACACAGAACTGGAGCAGCTGCTGACAATCTGTTACTACTGGGATATTCGTTCATTCTTTCTTCCGAAACAAGCGAACTTCCCGGATTAATGGCCTTGCCAACATTATCTTGATGTATTTTAAAGGCAACTTTATTTTCCATTCCTTCTGTTCAATTTTCAATAAAAGCTTCATTTACTCGTGTAGAATGCTTAAATGTTTTGCCTGTTTTGCTTGCTATTTGCGCACTGCTGTTTGCAGTTTTTCCAAACTTGGACTCTATACTTTTAATCGACATCCGAGTTTTTATGTCTTTTAGTTCAGTTTCATAATTCGTGTCTTGCAAATTGTCTTGAAATTCTCGTAGAATATTTTGTACGGATATGTGGCTATATGGATATGTGTGGATATTTTTTTGCCATTCGCTGTTTGAAAACCAGCAGAAACAAGCGAACTTTCCGGATTATTCATCTTGCCCCCTTCATCTCGATTCACTTTACTTTTCACTTCTTCCGATTCGTTTTCGATAGAAATTACACTCACCTTAACTGCGTTTTTATCTTCTCCCAACTTCGTTCGTTCTCCGCTAGCTTTTTGAAGAAATGCAACATTAGTTTCTCTCAGCACCAAGCTCTTGGAGTACCCACTAATATTGTCTCTTTGGTTACCTTTAAAGCCAATCAAAAAAATAATAAAATAATAAGCATAATAAAATATGAGGAATATCAATGCCATACCCTGGGTTATCTGCTTATTTACTGGCAACTTAGACGTATGGGGAAAATTATTATTCACCTTCACATCTTGATGTAGGATTTCTTGGGTGCTTGTGGAAGCAAAAATGTCATCGTCATCTTCATATCAATCATAATTGTTACATAGCTCAGTTTTACACTGATTAGATGGCGCCAAAGCTGAAAAATTTTGGATTAACTTAAATTAACTTAAATGTTGTCTCTTCACAAATTTTAAAAACAACTTACTATGAATTACGTTGTAAGTGTCCTCTTTCTCGATATCGTCATAACCTCGATCTGAAGCTTTTCCTAAAAAGAATGTACGAAGTTAGGGTTGTTAAAAAAAGCCTATAAAGAGCCACTTAGTTTCTGGTGTAGGATCCTACAAAAGAGACCGTTCCATTTTTTTTTTTTTTTGACTTTTTGAATACACTTTTTTTTACAATTGAAAAATTTCAAAAAATTGGTTTTGTTCACACAATTTAGGATTGCCATATATTAATTTACTATGCCAAGAACTGTAGATCTGTTTGAACACTACTGCCGTCTTCGTTATATGTTCCTTACGTTTTGCAATAACTCTTTTGTCTTTCATTGCAGTATTTCTCCAGTTCTGACATTTCACAATTTTTGCGTAACTTTTGTAAAACTTTCATTGCACTGTTCCTCCGTCTTTTTATGCCAATCCTACATAAGGTATATTTATTATTATATTTGGAACGTTTCCAACGCCCAGAAAGAAGGAAGAAGACTCCACAGAGTATACATATTATTGACTAGTATCAAATTCTGAATCGATTTAAGCGCGTATGTCTCTCGGTCTGAGTAATATCTGTTGTTGTATACACTCTGCTGGTGAACTTCAAAATTGGCAGGCGCATTGGAAATTCTTACAGACAGTTTGCTATTGAAAATGACAAAAATCGGTCCACGTAAATAGGACACGTCTGTTGTTCAAAAGGGATACAAATTGGTTTTTTACTCATTACTCATAAAGAATAGTAGATAAGTCTACAAAAGCTTGGACGTATATTTTTTGGGCTACAATGTAGTACCTGTACAGCACCTACACAATATTATAGTGTACCAAAACTTAATTTCTTTAACACCTTTATAACGCAAATAAAGTATGTAAACTGTTGGCCAGTTTCAAACATTTTCCCATTCCAAAACATGAAGATATCGCCTTCGACTTTCATTCTACAAAATAGCGAAAGAATTTGCCACCCAATATTATGCAATATGAAAATTTTGTTTTTCACCTCTTTCCAAAATATCATTCAGTATAATAAAAGATGGGTCTATCTAGATGGGTCTATCTCAAGTCAATAAGTCAATGCTTAGCAAAATGTCCTTTGTGGAAAAAAACTGAACAAAATTGTTTAAAAAAACTGAAATAAAAGTGAACAAAATTGGTTAAAAAAACTGAAATAAAATTGTGGAAATAAACTGAACAAAATTGTGGAAAAAAACTGAAATAAAATTGTGAAAAAAACTGAACAAAGTTGTGGAAAAAAACTGAACAAAATTGGTCAAAAAAACTGAAATAAAGTGAACTAAATTGAAAGTGATTCTGAATCCCTTGACTTGGGAAAGAAATTGAAAGTGATTCAAATTTAATATTCCCAAATATATAAGAAATTGACTAAAATCGGTTTATTCTCAAAAAAATAAAACCTTACCAGAACATCGAAATAAAACTATTCGAAATAGTCCACTCAACTAAACTCAGGTAAGTCCATTTATTATAATTAATGCTTGGTTTAACACTCCAATAGCTCCAACTAAAGCTGAAGTTATTACTCTAATAATTAATAAGTTAGATAAAGAATATGAAAGGAGCTAACTTTTGTTATGTTAATAATAATGTGTTTGCTGTATTTGTGATGAATCGTCGTTGATGACTGCATACTCCTTGGTTTTTGTTGATAAGATTGTCTAAAAAGCAAATTTGCGAGATTTTCGCCATTGCAAATAAGAGTTTGCTTGTAGATACCAGAATGATAACCGTATCTCCTTCCTTCGCATCGTTACTAATACCGTTACCCTTGTTAGCACTAGTATGAGTTGTACAGTTTCGACGTCATTCAGGCTCCAACTCTTACACCCAAGGGATTTGCGATAATTTACCATTCTATTTTGAGCCAGAGCGAATATATAAGGCAGATCAATTTTATTTTGTGTATTCTTGAAAAAGTCACTAATCGAGGCTGATGATTGTGTGCTATTTGGAATGTATGCTATTTTGAGCGTGTGATGACCATTTTGATCGGATCTATCCGTTAAGGATAGATATGTAAGAATAACATTGTAACTCATAGGCAAGTCAAAGCAACTTTGTAACGGGATAGCGATGGTGATCGCGACTATAAAAGAGCGTGTCGCACCACGCTCAGCCTTGCAGTTGTGCAGTAGCAGCCACGTGATCACGGACACAACTAGTCGACTTTTACTGAAGGGGTTTTTTTTTTTACTTAGGGGATGGCAGGTTTAGCTTAACCACCAACCCTGAGTGACTGATGGACATTTATTCTTGCGACGTGAAACAATTAGGGACGGACGAGTGGCCCCACAGGCCGAGATTGGCTGCTACAACACTCGCGACGTATTCTTGTCTTTTGTAGAAACTCGCGATACGCAAACGTGGATGATAATAATAGCCCGTAGGAAGTATTAAGAGGAACGCTAAAGAAAAGTAGGGTCACCACGGTGGTTTCCTCCGATGCCTCTTAAAATTCGCGTAAATACTATAATCTCCTTGCAATTTAAATAAATAAAAACGTAAAACCAAAACCGAAGGTCCAAGTAATCTTTATAAATATTCTTGGAAAGAGTCCTGGACTGGCTGAGTTTACCGTGCCCAAGACTCATTACAATATAGATATTTTACTGATTTTGGTTGATATATAATTTCCTGACAGTTTTTCATATAAATTTTCTACTGTTTGGTTCATATAGAACTCCCAGGCAGTTTTTCTTATAAAAATTCTACTGTTTTTGGTTCATGCACAACTTCCAGGCAGTTTTTCTTATAAAAATTCTACTGATTATGGTTGATATACAATTTTCATGGCAGTTTTTCATATAAATATTGTACTGGTTTTGATTGATATACGATTTCCTGGTAGTTTTTCTTATAAAAATCCTACTGTTTTTGGTTCATTTACAACTTTACGGCAGTTTTCCATAAAAAAATTCTACTGATTATGCCGGTCCCTCCCCATCAACTGTGATATCGGCCCTCTCCCGCGCAAACCTTTGGTAATCTATGTATAAAGAAAAAAAATAGAAAAAAGAAATGTATATTTCCTTATTCTTTTCTATGTCTCAAGAACACGTGCACATAATAATCCACATACATAAATATGTCTTTACATAAATATGCCTTATATTTTCCCAAGGAAACATGTTAAGTTCTCTTTGTAAACATGTTGCAATCCGTTGACAACATGCCTGCTATTAGGTAGACATCATATACGCCTACATACTTGTGTGAATTCTACTTATTAATAAGCTGCAGTTAGGTCATTAAAGTATTCCAAATATGCAAGAATTAACGAGCACTAATTTATTTCGTTCCAACACTCCATGATTTCAAGAGTCTTAAGATAACATGCAGACCAACTTTGCGAAATCAATTGAGGGAATTGTTACATAATTTCGTTCGGAAATTGCATTCCTTGTAAAATAATCAATATGTAAAAGAGCGTCGATGTACCCTCTCCTCTTCTTGAAAACAAATTGTTGCTTTATAATCAGGTTATTGGACTCAAGAAACCAAGATAATCTAGATGCCGTAATCTTTTTTAATACTTTGGAGAGGCAAAATATGGAAGAGATTGGGCGATAACCCGATGCGATGGAGACATTTTTGACTTAGGAATTAGAACAACTGGCCAGTCAAAAATATCGTATTATATAAGTCCAGTAATTACTTTTTACTTGAATTAGACAGAACACTGATCATTTAGTAGGAGATGTGGTCTAGACCAGGTGTCTCCCCTTTTGATTTGGAGAGACAACTTTCAAGTTCTAAGATAGATATGCAATTTTCCAGGAAGGTGGCACATCTGTCAATACCATTTGAAAGAGAAATTTGAGTCCTTTTATTTTCGATGAAAGGACTGGAAAAGTTGCTGTCAGAAAAGTGTTCGCAAAACATTTTTCCAAAGTAATTAGAAATCTCATGTGCGTCAGTTAAAGTTCCATTGGCAGTGCAGATGGCAGAAATTTCGTTCAGATTTTAATTTCCATTTTGTTTCACGCAACTTTCATTGGTGTGTTTCTGTGAATTCTTTTCGAAAAAAGTTCGAAACTACGTGCCTCTGATTTTCGTAATTCCTTTCTGAATAGAGCATTTGCCTTTTGCACAATAACAAATGATCATGATCAGGAGATCTTTTAAAGCGGTGCCATAGACTGTTTTTCCTCAATAACGAAAGCGTGTTGTTTTGCCAAGGAAGCCTAGCCCGTTTAAGAAAGCTGTTGGATTGAGGAGTAGAGAGATGAGCAGCCGTGCGAATCGTTTTACAGATAATAGCGCCATCATGGTTGCGGTTCCCTTTTACAGAAAATAAA